CCTCTTCGACCTGTTTGTTTCCTCTCCACCTATCCTCTCCTCTATCCCTCTTCTATCCGCCTCCAACTCTCTCCCTATTTATTTCAAAACCCCCTTCCCCTCCCCCTTTTCTGATGAAGGGTCTAGGCCCGAAACGTCAGCCTCTCTGCTCCTATGATGCTGCTTGGCCTGCTGTGTTCATCCAGCCCTGCACCTTGTTGTCTCGGATTCTCCAGCATCTGCAGTTCCTACTATCTCTTGTTGAAAGGGATGCTGAGGGACAGGATTTACATGCATTTGGAAAGGCAAGGACTGATTAGGGATAGTCAACATGGCTCTGTGCATGGGAAATCATGTCTCACTAACTTGATTGAGTTTTTTGAAGAGGTGACAAAGAAGATTGATTAAGGCAGAGCAGTAGACGTCTATATGGACTTCAGTGAAGCATTCAACAAGGTTCCACATGGTAGACTTGTGAATAAGGTTTGATCACATGGGATCTGGGAAGCTAGCCAATTGGATAAAAAATTGACTTGAAGAAAGGAGACAGAGGGTGGGGGTTGAGGGTTGTTTTTCAGACTGGAGGCTTGGGACTAGCAGTGTATCACAGGGATCAGTCCTGGGTCCATTGCTTTTCATTATTTATATAAATGATTTGGATGTGAATATAGGAAGTATGGTTGGTAAGTTTGCAGATGACACCAAAATGGGTGGTATAGTGGACAGTGAAGAAGATTATCTCATAATACAGATGGGTCGAGGAACGCAGATGAAACTTAATTTAGATAAATGTGAGGAGTTGCATCTTGGTAAGGCAAACCAGGGCAGAACTTATACAATGGTAGGGCTCTGGGGAGTGTTGCCAAAAAAAGAGACCTAAGAGTGCAGGTGCATAGTTCCTTGAAAGTGGAGTCGCAGATAGACAGTTTGGTGAAATAGGCATTTGGCACACTTGCCTTCATTGGTCAGAATATTGTGTATAGGAGTTTGGGTGACATATTGCGGCTGTATAGGACATTGGTGCGGCCATTTCTGGAATACTTGTATAATTGTGGTCATCCCTCTATAAGACGGATGTTTTTAAGCTGGAGAGGGTGCAGAAAAGATCTAGAAGAATGTTGCTGAGACTAGAGGATTTGAGTTATAGGAAGAGGCTGAATAGGCTGGAGTTTTTTCCCCCTGGAGCATTGGAGGTGAGGGGTGACCTCATAGAAGTTTATAAAATCAGGAGAGGCATAGATGAGGGCCCAATTGCTGTTAAATGGAACTAGGTCAGATTGGGATGTCTGGTTGGTGCAGACGAGTTGGACAAAAGGGTTTGTTTCTATACTGCATGACTCTATGAAAGATATGCAGGCTTTGAAGGCAGTCCAGAAAAGGTTCACTATGCTGTTAATTGAAACGCAATCTCTGGTTGTCTGGAAGAGAATGCTGCCTGGCCTGTACAGCATATCCAACATTTCTCTCTTTTTTTGTCAGGGTTTCCCGTCGTCACATCAGCTCCTGGTTTCAAAGTAACATAATTCGAATGTATTTGTTACCGTTCGAACACGAAATGCCTTTAAGTAGGATTAGTAACAAAACACGTTATAGTCTTGTAATGTTAATTCAAAAATCCAAATATCCAGTATTTCGAGTTAAGCGATGTAAGCAAATCAGGACAAAGGTATTTTTGTTTTTATTTCTTAACTCGAACTAAGGCATATCTGGATTTTTGCATTAACAGGTCCAGACCGTAAGTGCTGTTATTGATAGCGATTTACATTTCCTGGCTTTTTTGTATTTACAGTATCGAATTGTTTCACACATCCGTACAAAATTCCTTTGCGATTAACTGTTGTTTTAGAGAGAAAAAAAATAATAACTGGAATTGTATCGAGCACATTTTTTTCGAACAGTCTGCACCTAGGGAGGTGTAGGTTTGTTTGTTTTCGTTAGTCATGTAAATTTGCAATCTTTTTCGCTGGAGCTATTGGCCACGGTTCCAACGTACCCACCCCTACAATATCGTATAGCCATGTATCGTGTCGATATAAAGGGTTCAGCTTTAAAATGTGAAAACCGGTAAAGCCATGGACTTCTATTTACTGTCACGAAAATTGGGATATGGAATTTCGTTCAAATTCCCCAAAAGTGGCAAAAAAGAAACAATTTTACGTACCAAAGTTATTTTGCCTCACTTTTATTTACTGTACTGCGACAAAAGCTTCACAGGCTTTTTTTTGTTAAATCCCTGAAAGTTGAGATAAATATTTCATTCGTTTTCGCTTCTGCAAGAGCCTACTATGATTGCTAGCCACAGTAAAATTCTTTACGGGCAATCAGAAAGCTTGAAGCATCTTCCTCAGAACTCGCTCTCACTGCCAACAGAGCAGTCCTGCGGCCGTTTGGGGGTGGGGGTGGGTGTAGGTTCTCTCTCTGCTGTAGGGGGTGGGGATATCGGGGAACAACAAACCCAGGACAGAGGCGGGCGTGTACGGGCAGGTTAATGTCTCAACAAACGGGACTTAATGCAAGGGCACCAGTGCAGAATGCAATACCTCTACTGTACAATGTACCAGTGCAGAATGCAATACCTCTACTGTACAATGTGTGAATTGCACAGTGCAAAGCAGCGAAGTTCTTACTCGATTGGAGTCGATACAATTCATTTGCAACTTGGCTGGGATCACGTGCCTTTGCAGAACCGCCTTTCAAAGTTTTTTTTTCTGTGTTGGGTCGTTGGGATTGGAAAATCGCCGTGTAGTTAGCAATATTAATTGGTGCTCCTACCTATGAGGAGGTAATTAATGTTGCCCTGTTGGTAACATATTTAGCAATATCATTCTTACCCTTTCGTCAAAATAGGCGAAACCCAGTGCCACGAAGTCGTGCGGTGGTGTTTTCATTGAACTGAGTGAAGAGTTTGCTGCTGCGGGTTTCTCTGCAGTCCAGCACCCTGACTGCATTTCGGGAGAGCTGCTGCCGACAACGCTACCCCTCCAGGATGAAAGACCGCTCCAACTTGTGGGCATTCACTTTATTCCTTCATTTTGCCCGCGGATCCGGTGAGTTGCCACATAATATTATTAAACATGCGTCGACAGTCAACTTGCAAATGGAATGAACGAAGCCTGTACCGCGCTCTCACCTGTAGATAAATATGCATCAACATTTCTGTTTGGCACTGTTATTGACAAACTGTGACATCTGGCAAAGGTAGTTGGGGTGGGGTGGGGAGAGTTTTTCCTTCGCTAAGTTCAAAGTACGAATAAAATAAACAGAACCCGAAAGGAGCCACACCGTGTTCTTTAACACTCATCCGTTCTTGGTGTGCCTAATGAGATCGGTAACCTGGTCTTATACATTTAAAATTTTTAACAGTATTTTCCAGTCGACACACAACCAGATCTGTGGATTTGAGATTTTAAAAAAAGAAAGCTGCTGACCATACAACATATGAGAACAGGATCTCCAAGTTTTAAAAAAACATCTTTTTTGGATGCAAGTCAACAGACCTGTTGCTTGTTTTCAGCCTTTTCACGTTTTAGATACAGTATGAAAGTGATATATATAAACTTATTGGTTTTCGACAACATCAGTCCGCCTCTCATTTGTTGATTGTAAGGGAGCGATATAAAAGCAGTTGTGTGTACCTGCTGTGTCATTTTAATCCAATTTCTGGATTTACTTTTAGTTGTTGGGAATGTTTAATTTGCCGGAACACGGGGGGAGGGTTAGCGAGAGCAGCAATCGGAATGAAAACATCAGAAGCCTGGCTATCGTTGTACACCGCGGTTCGCTGATTGTGACTGACAGCAGTTGGTTATTGCAATGGGGGAGGGTGTTCGTAACTTGCATCCATACAGACCCCTTCGTGGCCTCCAGACATCCCAGAGGGGCTTCGACTCGGTGAAGTACGATGACTTTACGCCGTTGTTGGAGAAATGCGAGAATAGCAACCATTCTGAATACAGAATTCCAACAATGAAAATAAACATCTTCACCGATTTATTTATTTGTAGCGCTTTCAACATAGTGAAACATCCTAAACACGCTTATCCAGATTAAGAACCAGGCGACCTGATTTAGTTGCTTGTGGGAATGTTGCGGGTCACAGTGGCCCTGTTTTTGTGTTACTGACGGATCTATTGTGTGCACCCGAGAGAGCGAAGGTTCTATATTTGACCTCCCTTGCACCCAACCTCCAAACTTCTTCAACTTATTCCGAAGTGAACCTCCATTCTTTTCCCCCTCCACGCCACTCCATACCGTTCCTTGTGAAGTTCAGTGGCACCTTCTCCACATTTTGAAATCGTTGCATCCTGTGAATTTTACCAATGGTTTCAAAAGTATTCCAGCAAAAACTTCTTCAATCATGCTTTCAAAGCGCCCTCTTCACTTTATTTTCCTTCTGTCATTCGTCCAAGTTCTCTGGAAAACTGAGAAGTTTTATTTCATTTTGAGTAACATTTCATTTTAAAACTAACAAAAATGTCTTTAATGTCTCAACAAAACCGAAAAGTGACTTTTTTACCTGTACGGAGATAGTAGGAACTGCAGATGCTGGAGAATCTGAGATAACAAGGTTTAGAGCTGGATTCCTCAGACGACATGTCCGCCCTGGGCCTCCTACAGTGCCACAACGATGCCACCCGAAGGTTGCAGGAACAGCAACTCATATTCCGCTTGGGAACCCTGCAGCCCAATGGTATCAATGTGGATTTCACAAGCTTCAAAATCTCCCCTCCCCCCACCGCATCCCAAAAGCAGCCCAGCTCTTCCCCGCCTCCCTAACCTGTTCTTCCTCCCACCTATCCCCTCCGCCCACCTCAAGCCGCACCCCCATCTCCTACCTACTAACCTCATCCCACCCCCTTGACCTGTCCGTCCTCCCTGGACTGACCTATCCCCTCCCTAACTCCCCACCTACACTCACCTTTACTGGCTCCATCCCCGCCTCTTCGACCTGTCTGTTTCCTCTCCACCTATCTTCTCCTCTATCCATTTTCTATCCGCCTCCCCCTCTCTCCCTATTTATTTCAGAACCCCCTTCCCTGCTCCCATTTCTGATGAAAGGTCTAGGCCCAAAACGTCAGCCTTTTTGCTCCTATGATGCTGTTTGGCCTGCTGTGTTCATCCAGCTCTGCACCTTGTTGTTTCGGGCCTAGACCCTTCTTCAGAAATGGGGGAGGGGAAGGGGATTCTGAAATAAATAGGGAGAGAGGGGGAGGCGGATAGAAGATGGATAAAGGAGAAGATAGGTGGAGAGGAGACAGACAGGTCAAAGATAACAAGGTGTAGAGCTGGATGAACACAGCAGGCCAAGCAGCATCAGAGGAGCAGGAAAGCTGACGTTTTGGGCTTAAACCCTTCTTCAGAAAAGAAGGTCAAAGAGGCGGGGATGGAGCCAGTAAAGGTGAGTGTAGGTGTGGAGTTAGGGAGGGGACAGACAGGTCAAGGGGGCGGGATGAGGCTTGTTAGGTAGGAGATGGGGGTGGGGCTTGAGGTGGGAGGAGGGGATAGGTGGGAGGAAGGACAGGTTAGGGAGGTGGGGACAAGCTGGGCTGGTTTTGGGATGCGGTGGGGGGAGGGGAGATTTTGAAGCTTGTGAAGTCGACATTGATACCATTTTCTACCTTTACAATGTGTTGTACATCTAGTTTCCAGTTGTCAGGAAGCCGATGTCTTCACATAGCACATGGAATTCCAACCCAAAGACCTGTGACTCCAGCTACTTCTGTCTTGGTCAAAGTACCCAGTTAGTGACACTGCCTTCTTATGTGACGGTTTCCTGGTGCTGGCTGCAAAACCAAAGTAAACCTCTTGGATTTGCTAAGTCTGATTGCTGAGGATCTAATTTTCCTTCATTGGCACCACAGTCCTATAAACAGCTTTGACGTGCATATTTGAAGCTCACTATTTTGTGTCGTGGCTGCATTCTCCTGTAGATTGAGTGTGTCAAATTTACAGCACATGTATATTAATTTATGGTTTGCCATGTGCAAAATTGAGTCAGCGATTCTATTATATAGTTTAAATGCATATATAATAGTTCCAATAGCTGTTTTTCAAAAAGATTAGGCAGTCTGCTATTTGAATTGTCACATCTCTGGAGCAGGTGGGATTTGAACCTTAACTTTCTGATGTATTTAGGGACATGTTTCAAGGAACAGCAAATTACAAACACTACACACCAGGGATAGTGTCTTTAAGATTTCACCATTTGCCATGGTTGGACTTGACCCTGTGATCCCAAACCATTAGCATGAGGTCCTGGATTCCTAGTTGAATGATATTACCATTGCCTCCTCCCTATGAGTTCTGGGGTTGGTTAGCTGAGTTGGCTGGATTTGTGATGCTGCCAACCCAACAGAGTAGTTTAAATTCCCACACTCACTGAGGTTACAATGAAGACTCTCATTCTGAACATCTCCCCTTGCCTGAGGCATGATGAACCTCAGGTTAAACTGCCATCAGTCATCTCTGCCTAATGAGAGAGTAGCCCCATGGTCCAGTGGAACTATGATGACTTTACCCTGCCAGCAGATTGTATAGATGTCTCAAACAGACATCAGATATGATGCGCCAAATGACCTTCATCTGTGTTGCATCATTCTATGATTCTTCTAGTGGGGTCAGTTGACCGTGAAGCAGATACCTTGTTTGGGATTCTTCCATGTGCTTACTGTTCTTCAGTTTTATCTTTGTTTGTAAATAAGTTTGTGTCCTTCACCCTGAGCACAATGCTTGTTGAATAGCTTGCTTACTGAAAGAGTTTTCTTCCATAAAAGATGCAACAAGTGTGCAAACAGTGAAATTAAGAGTTTGAGTTGTAGTTACAGTGCAATGTGATACAGAGCAGCTGGCAATTCTAAACCTGAGCTTTCAAACACAACTGTAGCTATTGCATTTAAACAGAAATGTAAAGATCCATTTTTGCATCAACAACAAAAAAGAAATTGCTAGAAAATCTCAGCAGTTTGGCAGGATCTGTGGAGAGAAATCAGCGTTAACGTTTCGGGTCCAGTGACTCTTCCTCAGAACAGTTCTGCTGAACTTTTCCATCAATTTCTCATTTTGTTTCTGATTTCCAGTATCCACAGTTTTGTTTTGATTTCTATTTTAGCATGCTGTTTTGGATGTGTTGTAAACCATTTTACAGAATGAAAGGTATGTCTCTCATGGCTTTTGAAATACCATTGCAAATTCACTGAAGTGTAACTTGTCAAAATACAAAAAGAAATGTAACCAAAGTAGTTGTCAAAACATGAAACAATAACAATATCATTAATTAATATATTTAATTCAAACCCTCCACTAACACAGAATGAAAGCAGCTACAGTTGCATATGTTATGAATATACTTTGTTATGTGATGTAAGGGATGTGATATATCTGATTTATCATAAATGCCATTTAGTTTAGTGTTTGGATTTTGAACTGGTGCCATCTGTATATACAAGGATGTTTAATTATTAAGTTACCAGTATTTTTGGAATTATGATTTTTTTTATAAACTGGTATGAGAGAAGTCCATAGGGTCGGGGATTTGAGGGTGATATGGAAATTTTTTGCATTGGCATTGGCAGAGTTTTACAAGTGGACAGAATAAACATTGAGGAGATTGAGCTTGCTTTCAGTTTAGAAGAATCAGGAATTGTTTTCTTTTAAATTTTGCTCAGAGGAAAAGCCCATAACTTGGAAACCTTTTGGTTTCAGTTTGCAGAAATTGTGGTTGAAGCTTGATGTATGAAAGTTTCTTCTTGAGAAAGGTGATGGAACTGTTCAGAAATAGGTTATCCTTGTGTAAGGACTTCAGCTTGAAAGTTCCAAATCAGAAGTATTTGTTTAGAACCCTAATAGAGTTATTTGAAGCTGCAAAAGTTTAAGCTCAGTTGTGTGACTAATTAAAAAAGGGGCTACCAAGACTGGGATTTGAAAGAAACAGTTCAGCAAAACCTATATACACGATAGAGAAGTGATCTGGTCTTTGAGCACTATAATGTGATGGTGTTAGAATTTTATTTTACTGTGTGTTTGAAATCCTTCAACTTGTGTTACATAT